GTGATGTTACATACTGAAGACAAGGGCAGAGTTTCTAGAATTCATGGGAGGTGTTCAAATTGCCATGGAAGAAAAATTGTTGAGGCACGAAAGCGCCAAATCCTGGTAAGAAGAAGAGTTCAACTCAAGTGGTAGCCAACTTAAAACAGAAATCACTCCTTATTAATAAGAATGGCTCTGTAGGCGAGGATGCGCTAATCGGGCATAGTCGCCGTAACCGCAATAAATTCAAAATTCAAAACTACTTAAGTATTCACCTGTCAAGCGAGCAAGCATTCCCAGTTCACCAGCCACAGGCTCGTAAGTACCAATACAATGTTTAGTTCGCTAGCTGTCGCCCTTGGATGCATTGGTGTTGCTTCCGCAAGTGCCTACGGGACGCCTATTGAGCGTGAACTTATTCTAAGTGGTGCAGTTGTACCGATTGGCATCAAGTCGTATGTTACTAGCGTTCGATCTACGCCCGACGGCGATACTGTCTGTGGCGGCAATCTCATCTCTCCTACTCATGTCCTCACTGCGTCACACTGCGTGACCTACGACATTCGTTGGGTCTCAGTTGGGACTCACTATAACAACGGTACTCTTGACGGCGAGCAGATTCGGGTTGTGTCAGTCATGAACCACCCAAACTACTCTAAGAACGTGAAATACGCGGACGACTTTTTGGTACGCGAGCTCGAGAGACCAAGCAAATTCAAGCCTGTAAAGCTTGCTGTTTCCGACGACTCCGACTTCAAAGCGGGGAAGTGGGCTGTGACCATGGGGTGGGGCTCAAATGCTGAGGTCAACGGCACCTATTCGCACGAGCTGCAGAGTGTTGACGTCCAGCTCGTGAGTGATGAAACCTGTGCTGCTTTTGCCACCATCGACTCCAGTATGGTCTGCGCAGGTGGAGTTCTCAATCATGACTCTTGTGCCGGAGACTCTGGGGGCCCACTCATCCTAGAAGGGTTGAGCACGACAGAAGACGTTCTAATTGGGCTTGTGAGCTGGGGAAAGAACGAGACGTGCGGACGGGAAGGCTATCCTGGTGTCTACTCGCGCGTTTCCAACGCTCGAAAGTGGATTGATTCCATTACAGGTGGAAACGGCACTTGCATGGGTTAAGATCAACTGAGCGGCAAGTCCAAAGAATCTTCTCATAAATTCGTGCTGAAGTTTCTAGCGTTTTCTACTGTAGAAATCTTAAGGAAACGTAATAAAATTTATATACACAAATTAGTTTCTAATGTTGGAGGTCCATTTTTCTTCTAGAACAACCCTCAGACCGGTGCATACGAAGATGACCATCCCGCGCCTTGCTGAAGGACGTATTACGGTAATGACTTCCTCGATCACTTCTCCAGTAAATTCATATCTCGCGAAATCCAACACTTGATCTATAAACTCCTGTAGCACCTGATCTCCCTGTCCGCTCCAAATGTCTTCTGTGCATGATTCACACAGCTTTCACGTGTACTCTCCAACCTGACTCGGCGGTGCTCCTGT